TCTGGTTGCAGAAAATCAAGCTCGGTGCTGTGGTGAGTCGTCATTTTCATGCACTTTGAATTTGCGTTGTATCGTATTTTGAAGGCATTAAACATTGCCATAGCGATTGGAGTGTTGCGGCCAGATTAGACGCTCCTTGTGTTTATTATTATATTTCGAAAGCACCACAGTTTTCATGCAGCTCATACCATATTATTTTGTTGTATTATTTCCGCCACACCTTAAATGCCGGTCCCTGAAAATATTGTCTGACATAAACCGGTCCGTGGGGCAAAAAAGGTTGGGGACCCCTGCCTTAAGGGACTTCGTTTAACATCCCTTACAGACCGTGCAGCACAAATTGGCGGAGCTAAAGACAGAAATCTGCGTGGGCCGCGCCTTCCTTGATAGCTGCCTGCAGCTCCATGTCGAGAAACGCCTTGACCCTGCCACTGCTTCCATGGCCAAGTACTGGTAAGAGTGCACGTCTGCTCGAGTGTGTGGATGTGCCACTGTGGTGTGCTCTAACTTTGCCTTTCTCCAGGGCGTCTGACCTGCAGAACAAGGTGGCCACGCAGTGCCTGCAGCTCCATGGTGGCTGGGGCTACATGTGGGAGTACCCCATTGCCAAGTAAGCACTCAGCGGGCCTCACAATACCTCTCTTCACAAACTGCATTGAGCCCCGCCAGCAGGGCTGTCCAAACAGAAAAATGGAAGGATGCAAGGACCATTTTTACATATGCAGTGCTACCTTGATTTGCAAGTGACCTGTTTCATAATTTTTTTGAGAAACAAGACATCGCTTGAATTATTATTCGGGTTTCTTTTTTGTTTTTTGTTTGTTTATTTGGAGGGTTTTTTTTGCCTCAACTTGTAAGCAAACATTTGAGAAAGAAGCAGTGGTTAACTGAACTCACTTCAAAACAAACAACAGTTTGAAAGATAGTGAAATATAAAAAAAAAAAAAGAAAGGCTTTATGATTAGTGTCAAACTAAACTTAAAACAAAGACTATTGCAGGCATAACTCTATTCACAGGAATATATTCTTTATCCTCTGTGAAAAAGGACTAAGATTACTGCAGTTGACTAAATCACTTATTGTGAAACTGTTCTTTGATTGTCTGTATGATTATACTGCTCCGGGTGGCCATGGCGGTCATACCAGAAGGAGCACAAGGTCTGGAACAGATTAATGGCATTATTTTCTCTTCATTTCAATGGGGAATGGTGTTTTGAGATGGCCTACGAGTGTTTAAAGTTTCGAGCATGGTCACAGAACAAATGGGCTGGACTTTGGACAGACCTGGCCCTTCAAGATTTTTGAATTGCATCTCTGTCATTACAGGGCATTTGTGGACTCTCGTGTCCAGCCCATCTATGGAGGAACCAATGAGATCATGAAAGAGCTCATCGCGCGAAGCATCGTCAGCCAGAAATGAGACACCTTCTCACCTTGTTAAGGACTCGAGGTGGTGTTGGTGGGTTTATTTTTGTTTTTTGTTTTATGTGGAAACACACAAATGGAATAGAATAAATAGAAAACTGAGAATTGACCAACTAAAACAGAATTTTCGAAAGCAGAAGAAAAGTGCCAATTGTGTTAAAATTTAATTTTTTTTTTTAAGTTGCACTGTTGTTATGCAGGGTCATTTTATCAACTTATTGGTTGGACCAGTGATTCTATCCATTACTATTGTTTTTCTTTAGACAATGGATTTAACTACATTTGCTGTGAATGCAGTGATAATAATGTTCATATTGAATGAACGTCTTCCATTTTCTTTTAATAAAACTTAATGGAAAATCTAATTTATTTGAATCATAATTGGTTCATTCGAAATACAGTACTCTTTAATGTGTAGTAAGCAGTCACACAGTAAGAAAAAAATTGATTCATAGAAAAAAATCAATTAAAGACTCATTAATAAATGCTGTTCAATTTGTAGCCCTTTGAATTACATTGAAATTGAAAAATGGGCGGGTGAGATCGTATCAACGTTTGTTCATCGTAAAACGTAACAACAATCAAATGCTGCGCAAGGCAGATCTACCCCTTGTGTTTACTGCTTCTTGTTGAGCCTGGCCTATATTTTGGAATCAGCCTTCCCAAACTGCCCAAGCAAATAGCAAAGCACACGATGATGCATGTAGAACTGACGTCTCACACAATACTGTATACTATCACTCACAAATGCTGAGCCATAATGTTGACGGAGACGGGCCACGGCAAAGCACATATCTGGGTGAATTCTGTCTCACTTGTATTCCCAGGAGCTCTGTGGCCTCTCTTTTATTAATGAAAGTAGTTTAAAAAAATGGAACTCTTCCCTGAGCAGGCCACACTCCCAGACATACTGTATAGAGAAGAACCTTGAAGAGAGAAGAGGATCAAGCAACGTGCAAACATGACACAGGAAGTTGGAGCCTGGATTCGACCCTCAACATTCGAAATGTGAGGTGAATGTGTTCATCACTCCTTCAGTGTGCCCCTTAAAACAAAAACACTCTTCCCTATTGTTACCTTTGGACCAAGTCAAAGCTCTGATAGTCATGACAACATAAATTTGAGGCAAAATAATCAAGGTGAAATATTTGTGGTTTAAAAGAACATACCTCGGGTTAAACATTTCCAACATGCCAGTAAATTTCTGCTTTGGAAACTTTAAGGGCCCACTGCGTCTCTGGTAACGTTCAGCTCAATTGAGTCAGCGATTGCCTTCCACTGTGCTCCTCTTATCTTATGCAAGCCCCGAGTCAAACCCGAACCTCAAAATTGAAAAGCCAACATGCTGGCCACTATGCTGACGGTGATGCTCCGAAACGCAAACCAATTATTAAATTGTATCAACTCAACAAGCAGGTTGAAGGAGACCTGCAACTTAGAATTCCTTCACTAGGTGGCAGCAGAATGTTGGGTAAGCTCAAAAGACCAACCCTTTATTTATTTAAAAAAATGTAGCCTATTTCGTGTACTGTAGGAATAAGGCGCTCGCCACCTGTGTCCCAGTAATAGATCTATTTTTTTTATATTACTGAATCCAAAACATTGTCATCTTGGCCTCCTATTCGATGTCTGTGCTTTGCGTCTGGCTGTCTTCGCTGCTCCAACTCGGCCTTCTCTTTTATCAATCTTCCCTCAGCAACAGCCACACCCTGATGCTTCACCACCACTTGGCACCTGCTGAGCACTTGATCCACGAGCGCATTTCTCTCTTGGTGCATGCTCACGTGCGCCCTTTGTGCATATTCGCACATTTGAAAACGCCACATTCAATCACCAGTTTTGCCCCCCGGTGGCGCGCGACTGTCGCTGGGGGCCTTTAGTGCGATCGCCTTGCCCCAATACTGCTGCACTTACGGTAACTGCTTTTGCCGTGGGAGGGGTCACAGGGCCCAACAACGGCGCTTATTGTCAGCTGCAGCTCTCCCCCTGCCTGATTCTCGTAACTACGCGCCCCTTGTGCCGCACTGCTGCCGAAACCCGCAGGTAAGAAACCTTTGTGTAAATTGCGCCAGTTCGTAGAAGTGAGTATCAGTTATTCTGTCGCAGCTATAGAAAATTATAAAAGTTTCGTGAATTGTCACGAAGAAGAGGAAAATGAATCAAAAGAATGTCGCTGTCCACCAATCGTGTGTGCTCGTCTCGACATGTGCAACAATGTGTTAAGGAGCAGGGTACTTTGGAAGTTGCCACAGTACGCTCCACGCAATTGATCAAGCATGGCATTTCTTCCATGGCTTATTTGCTGTTGATTTTTCTCGTGGATGGGTGTCTTGCTTTCTGCGTGTTCGTGCGCTTTTTTGCGCAGTCGCGAAAGCCCGCAGCCGGCCGGCGCCTTTTGTTCTGGTCCACGCCTGCGAGGTGCTGAAACCGGCGTACCTGTCTCCGAGACATGCACTGCCGAGGGAGCAGGGCTGTGGGCTGAAAATGCGAATGTGCACATTATTTCAACTTAGTCTACAATTTCTTTCTTAATGGTTCATGATTTGTGGGTGGATTGGGATCGTTCAGCCTCGCCGGCCTGTCTCATCTGATTGTCCTTGCGGCCAATCGTACCTTCCTCACCTAAATATTATCTTGGTGAAAATATTTCCCCCAACACAATGATTGACGTTTGGGTTAATTATACGTGAGACTCATCACGAGGCTGTCGTGGATGTTGTTTTTTTCAATTGCAAGCTAATTAGAAATATCAGTGAACGTGTCTTTCTTTCCTCACTACGTCCAGTGAGCAGATATGCACGTTTAAATAGAAGAGCATTCCATTATGAAGATGGATTAATGTCGGCCTCAAGGTATGTATGTTCACATTCCTGGAATGCAGTGAAAGAACGCATTCCCATGCACCGGATGTTGTACTTGTAGCAGCTGGCTTGTCAGGGTCAACAGAAGAGAGCAAAGGTTCATGTGATTGGGTGTGTTGTTTAGTCGTGTACATCAGGCAAGGAAAAGCCCAGAAGCATGAACTCCTCCCAGTATTACATCCATTTAAAGATGAGGGCTTTCCTGCATGTTTGCTGACTTTTAGCTGTTTCACCAATTTCCCCCATAAGGACACCCCCCACCCCACCCCTTCAACAGCAAATTCAGTCTAAACACTGGCAAGTTAAGGAGAATGACCCCAGTCACAAGCTGTTTTTGTTGTTGTTTTTTACAGAACAAAGAATTTAAGATTTAAATTACAAGTTTGGGCTTGGCCTTGTGACATCATGCATTAGAATCCTCAGTCTTTGTACTCGGCAGGAGAGACTTCTTGGCAGCTGAGTGTCATTTGGAGCAGATGCAAGGGATCTTTCACAGATTGACAGTTTGAATTTGTTCTGCTGATTTGCAGAGGGAGAAATCACCACTCTTGCTTTTTTTTTTTTTTTTTTGGATCCTCTCAGGCGCCTTGTAGTTTTGCATGCCGATTAAGGGTGTTTTGGGGCTCAGGAATGGTTCCCACTGGTGTCTATTTCATCCTTTTCACTCTACAGGTGTCTAATAGGAGCTGGCAGGGTGATTCTTTCCATGATTAAGGTTGCAAGAAGGCCCTAATCCCCTTCACATACGTCACAGGAATGCAACCTGCTGACAGGCATATGGTGATCTCAAATTCTCAACTTGGAACTCTCTTCCACGTTTCAACAACCAAATGGTTTGTTTTGTGAATGTAAATGCGAGCAATAGTGCTAAATGTAGACAAAAAAAAAAAAGATACTTGGAGGTGATTGTTCTTGGCTGACAAAAAATTCTCCAAAGGTGCCTTCCAGTTGAGATTGCAGTTGTCTCATGTGTAGTACAGCTGTGCTTTCAACAGCTGTGCGAATGGCCGTCTTGGCTTAAATGTGTTGAAGGTCATTGTTCTCTATCAGACTCTTCATCAGCAGTCCATTTGCTGCAGGAATCTTGGACTCTTCCTCCCATGGTTCTGGGCCCCCTGACACCCGTGTAATAGCACGTCACGGGCTGGCTCGCGGGCAGCCACTCAAACGAGGCCTGACAGCCAGTGTCACTTTCCATTCCTTACGGACGATGCCCCTCAACAGAGAGGACACTCATCCGGGGCATTCTTCCTCAGATGGTGGCATCTAAGAATCTGTGCTGGGGAAATTCTGGGTGACCAATTAGGGGTGACTTTTATTTCCAACAAGACAAACATCCATGCTCGACTGACTGGAATATCCGCTTATTGAATACCTTCTGTTGGGAAGCTCTCAAAATTTAGGGCTTTGTATCCTAAAAAAGAAATAAGGTCAGAATAACTTTATTGAAGCACTTCTGGAATGTGTGTGTGTGTGTGTGTGTGTGTGTGTGTGTGTGTGTGTGTGTGTGTGTGTGTGTGTGTGTGTGTGCGCTTGCAATACAGGCTCATGACATACAATCAATCTTAAATTGTTTTTCTTAGATGTTTCACACCCCCAATTGCTACAGAAGAATGTTGGCAACTGTGCCGTGGACGTCTTCGGGGTAATGTTATGGCTTCCGCCCGATGCTATATCTGCCCAGTTGTGTGAATTTGGCGCTGTCATGCCACTCATGTTTGCAGAACTTTTTGTCCATTCCATACTTCAAGGCGCTTTGTAAAAGTCAGATTTTTGATGTTTTATTCTGAGAAGATATCAGTCCGAGTCTATCGCTAACTGACCCAGAGACCCGGGCTAGCTCGGCGTTTAGCGTCGCCGCAACACAACACTGGGCCATTATGTCTTCCAGATGTGGTGACTAAACTGCACGACTGTTTGCTCCTTGTCCCCTTGCGTATTGCACAGGCTGCTCTGCTCGGAGGAATGAATGAGCTCAGTTGTTGAAGTATCAACTCTGTTTCTGGTTCATCAAAGCTTTTATGTTTTCACATCTGAATGAGAGTGTGTTTTCCACGCCTTCCATTAAGGAGATTCATTGGAATGTAATATGATTGAGGCCAGTCTCAGAGGAGAAAATGCACTTTCAGGGCCTGATGTATTTTAAGTATCCCATAGATTGACGCGTTGTGTTTTTCTCTGCATGGTGGGCAATATCCAAGCTAACGGGGCTGAGTGGAAACCCCCAAATTCATAGGAACCTTGCATTCAGGAGCTCTGTTAAGCCAGCGTGACAGCGAGGACCAGATGCACTGAATGCGATGATGGTGCAGTGTGAACACAGCAGCTGAGTGTGTGCGAGTACCCCCAACCACCAGCACCCACCCCGCAGTTTTATCATCTTTAACGGTGGTCTTACCTTCCTATCTGAGGCATCTGTGGGAGAAACTCCATCTGGTGTTTGCGTGTGTGGAAAATCGAAACATCTCTCAGAGCCCATAACGTTTTGCCGTACAGTTAATAATCAAGAAGAGTTGGCATTTGTGAATTTGCCTCGCACCCCCATCTGTCTGGACTGTCTGTGTTGTTTACTGCTGCCCTCTGAGTGCATGAAGGGCCCCCCGCTCCAAGGCAACCCCTGCCATGGAAACCAGCCCCTGAATGGAATGACCCTTGTGAAACACTAGTGTTCCTTGAGCCTGTGTGCTCCTCACCTGCTCACCACTGAGCAGTGGAAAACCCCCCAAACATTTTTTTTATTCCACTTGGGAATGCCCCAAGTGGTGCTGAACCTTTGACCTGAACACACGACAGTCACTGGCGTTTACTATGGTGATAATTGCCTGTTCTCAAGCCAACAAGTGTGGACTCTCTTATTTAAATATTTTGTTTTTGTAGAATTTTTTTTTTTTTTAACTTTGTCAGACTGATCCCACAGGACAGTAAGGTGGGGGTTTTGTGGATGTCTGGTGGGACTTCTTTGCTTGGCTCATTAAATCTCCTCATAAATCGTGCTGTGAGAGGCCGCCATTGGCATTGGTTTTGCAACATCGGCAGATGTGAAAGACCTCCGAGGATGGACGGCATCTCTCTCTCTCTCTCTCTCTCTCTCTCTCTCTCTCTCTCTCTCTCTCTCTCTCTTTCTCTCTCTCTCTCTCTCCCTCTCTCTCTCTCTCTCTATGAGTTCAAAAGTAAATGTAGAAGTCCCAAATCCAGAACCCTTCACTGTATGGTTGTTATGACTTGATTTTCTGGGAGATTTTCTGCCCTCTTAGAGTGTACAGCACACGTCATTCCAAATATATATTGTTAACCTGTGTTACCACACAAAACAGAAGTATAATTGGACTTGATTGTCTGTATTAGGAAATGAAGGCATAATAGACGTGCGCTTCAAAAGCTTGAGCCTGATGTTATCTTTTTCGTTGTCATGTCTACGGAAGCGTGATAGTTATCAGCCTCTACCGTATGCGGGCCTGTTTGTGTTTCACTACACAACAGACATCCTGTGTCTCTTGCGAAGTCAAAGCCACCAGCTTTTCACGCTTTTTCCGTCGAGACGCTGTGGGATGCCAATTATTGATTTTAGTCCCTCCGGAGTGTCCTGGCTTGAGGTTGGAGGAGAGAGACCCCCTACTGGCTCTGCATGTTAATCCCCTGCCATCTGCTTTCTACCCCAGGGGAAGGCTGCATGACGCCTCAAGGTCCCTTGAGGGCCTGGCAGCCTGAGAATTACCTTTGCGCAAATACAAACTACCTCCCGCACCCTCTGGTGTTCTTCCTTCCCACTTATTCTGCCTGAGTGCTGATCAATAGAAGCAGGCGTGATTTACACACACCTTCCCAAATGTACCTGCCCACACTTGTATGAGTGGCAAGGCCTCTACTGTGTGTGGGATATGCAGGTGCTTAATGACATGACATATGGGCAGAGCTGACAGTGCCGCCTTTTAAGTGTACCCTGCAGTTAACTCGGCTGTGATGTTTGGTGCAGTATAACACAAGTTGCCGCGAAAGCTATGTTTGGCTTTCTTTTTTTGTTTTTTTTTTTTCATCTTGGTTTGTGTTCTGTTAAAACAGTGACAAAGTGTGGTATGGGTACCAGTCGTGCAGTGTATGCGGGCCACAAATTCACAAGCAAGGCAAGGCGGCTTTATTTATATAGAGCACAGTGTCAAACTCAAGGCCCGGGGGTCAGATTTG